TGAAATTTTATTTGAAATTTTGTGGCTTAGAAGCATTAAAAAAAAAAAATCAATTAAAAAAATCAGTTTTTCCCTCTCTCCCTCCCAAGAATTACATAATTTAGACACATAAAAATTCAAAAGCCGTCTCCAGTGCATCTTGCTAAAAGACAAATGTTAATTTGAATGTAATACATCCAAACTGAGAGAAATTTTGTTGCATTTGGGTTATTTTTTGCCTAAACTAGATCAGCACTCTCCAAGCATACAGCAAACCATTAAAAACAACTGACTCAGAAACTTAAATTAATTTCTCATTTTCTAATTAACCTGTGATTCTGAAAAATATTACTGCTCTGAATACTGCCATTTAAAGAAATGCTTGTCTATAAATGTGCAACCCCATTCATAACATCTACACAGAGAAAACTTTGCTCTCAGAATAGTGTATTTTTATTACGATATTTCCTTTATTCAAACACTTCTGAATGCCAAGCAACAGGAAATTTGCAAGTGCTACTGTGGACTGTGCAATGTGGTAGAAAGGCATGGGAACACAGATGATCATACACAGTTTAACCATGACATTTTAGTCATAAAATTTTGGAAAAGATCCCTGAGGGGTGGAAAATTTTACTATAATCTGCACAATCAGGTTGAGAGGGGAACACAACTGTGTCTCACATTTGTTTGTCTACAATTCAGCGGGCGAGGGATGCGAGAGGGACTGAGCAGAGTGCCAGGGGTCAGCTGAGCTGCAGGGAGGGCAGATGGAGAGGTGGCCCTGCCTGGGGCAGCACTGGGGTGGCAGCTCTGCTGCTGTGTCACTGTCACTGTCATTGTCAGGGCAGGCTGGAGCTGGAGCCTGCCCCAATCCTGCCTGGCTGCCCCGGGGCTGGCAGCAAGGCAGCGTGGGGCTCAGCACATCCTGCCGGCCTGGCAGGGAGCCAGGCACCAACAGGGAGCCCAAAGCCGTCCCTGCGGATGGGACAGTGCTGGTTGTGCAAGCACCAAACTGCTCCTGCAGGAGTTAATGCAAGGAAAACAGCATCAAAACAGGTCCCTTGCCTCTCCTCCTCTCTTCCCACACACAGAACAGGACCTCTCTTCCACAGCACCAAGGAATACTACATTTCCACTTTAGACACAGAAGAAGTGAGCACATACCAATTAGACATGGGTCACTGGTACCATGAAAACATGGAAAAATTCTTTTATCTTCACGTATAAATACATTTTATTTATATTGTTTCAATTTTAAACAAAATTCCAACGGTATTACTAATGGTAAACTAAAACCTTTTTCTAACCCAGAAGCAAAAATTTGTTTGTTTTTGTGACATTAACAGTACACACCAAAGTCCACTGTCACTGATGAGTCACATTTTGCTAACAGCTTGTGTCCAATATTTAAAAATTTTAAAAAGCATTGGGACTATTTTTTCTAGAAAAATTCAATTATTACTCCAGGCCACAAATATGCAACCAGTGCTGACTTCCTGTCTATGACTTTAATCCCATCAGCTCTGACTTAGAGTGTGATCAAATCCTGCCTGATCAAGTTTCACAATAGATCACTCACCAGACTTCAGGGAGAATTCTGAAATTTCACCAGACATCCCAAGAGCTCCTAGCACGCTGTACACAGTGTGATGTTTCTTGTAATTTTAATTGGATCTGTGTAGAAATACCCTAGACTAGTTTTTAAATAAGCAAAGGCATTAAGACAAGATGGGTTACATCATGCCAGCTTGCTCCCTCCTTTAAATTTTCTGTTGTTTTACCAAAAATATTTTAAAATCCCTCAAGGCTAATGCATGACACAACCATTCCAAAATCTTACCAACATCACCTCCAAGTCTTAAGTTGTGTTACTGCTAAGTTCCTTGGTTTATCTGTTGGACTCAACCATGTCCTTCTCATTATTTATACACCTCAAACAATTGTTGACTTGCTCTGTGTTCAGTAAAACACAGTGAAGTTATTTAGGAAGAACAGGTAATTGTTTCATTTGTGCTCTGCTTTGTCTTGGATAAATAAAATGAAACCTAGCATTTCATGAACACAACAGTAGTTCCATAAAGGAACTGTGAAGTCATGTAACTTCTTTATACTACTTCATTGGAAGCAAGAGGAATTACACTAACAATGAAATGCTGTGACATGAAATCCCATCACAATTCCCCATCAAAATGCTACAGCAAACATAAATGGTAAAATATCAGACTGGACTGAACTCCATAGACTCTTACAACTCTACTATACTTTTAGATTTACTACAGATTTTGTCACTGATAACTTGATTTGGAGCACTGCCCGTGCAATGACACCAATGTGCACACAAATGGAACCCTGTGCCACTGTCAGATGCACAATTCCTGTCTATTCCTGGTGCTAAGAACATTGCCCAGTCTCAAAAGGGGTGGGTGAAATGAGATTTAACAGGCTGCTGGCATTAAACATGGTATTCTGAGAACAGAAACACCAACAAAACATCTGCACCCTGCCAAGCACTGCTTCATCCTTGGAAGCATCAACACAATCATATGGCAGAGGTAAGAGAATTCTTCATGTTGAAGCACAGCCTCACACCAGGTAGAATATATTCACTCTAGTCTATGACACAATTTTGAAAACCTCTACAGAAGCTGAAAGGTCCTCCAAAAATATAATTTTTTACTCAAAAACATTCAGTTTACTCAAAAGTCTAAGTTCTACTCAAACTGAACGTTAAACTGTTAATCTGACTTTTAACTAATCACTGCAAAGTCAGTGCAATAATCTTATGTTCCGAACAGCATGTCAGTTTGTGTTTAGTATGAACAGTTGTATGCCAAAATAAGTACTTTTGCCAAAGAATTGTATCTAATGGGACATACCAAAGGGGACCATCACTGAACCTGAGGATTAGATCTGGGAAAAACAAAATTCTTTTTCTATTATGCATTAACAGCTGGCTTTTGCAAGTTAATAGTCAGGTTATTTCAATTTTTAATTCAGGTCAGGCACATTAAAAAACTCATCATGCTTCTTCCATCAAGGGACTCACAGTTTCCTGAGTATATTTTTAGAGTTAAATAGTCCAGGCTATTAAAAAAAGATTTCAGAGAACTTTCTGTGAGAGAAATGGTGTGAGATCTTGGTACCTCTACCAAAAAATACAAGTGTGTAGATGAAATTACTTAAATATATTTTATATTCAATCCAGATTTTTGCTCTGCTTGATGGTGAAATCAAAACTTCTTTAAGCTTATTTCAAAACTCCTGATACTACATTAAAAAGTCTGGTTTTATTGTCCTTCTTTTTTTTTTTTTTGCTTACTTGGATCAAACTTTATCGAGGTAGGAATCTAACCAACCTGCACCAACAGCCCAAAATACTCCCTGTAGCTCTCAAGGTAAAGAGCTATGTGGACTCTCTTGGCTATTCTTATAAGCAAAACTAAAAACCAGAAAATAAAAGAAAGCAGAAGCTTCTTAAAAATGTAGAATTTATGCAGTAAATAAGTAAGAGTAAAATAGGGAAGAGGGAAATTTCTATAGCTCATTAGCTCTTCCCTCAAATTAAGTATTTGTGGCAGCAGCAAATGTGAAACTACAATTCTGCTACTGAAGAACTCAAAACAGGGAACAGAGAAAGATAAACTTGGATCTAAAGATGGGAGAAAGTCAATTTGCTGGGACTGAAAAATTTAACATCTCACCATGCTACTTTACATAAGAGAATGAAAATACTCTGTACACTCTTCCCTGAAAGCAGTTGTGGGGTATTATGTACAGCTATAAACTAAAACACACTTAAATAAAACTTTTTTACAGTTTGAATAATTAGAAGAGGCAAAAACCCTGCCACTTCATGCTCCATACAAGTTGCTAAGTACTATTCTAAATAAGAAATGTCAAGAAATCTACACATTTAAGTTTGTCAATATGCTCTTGCCTTCAACAGATGATTCTGGTTTCTATGATTGGTAAAGTTTGACAATTTTTTATTCTAAAAACGACATGACAGAATCTTTTTCTAGTTTAAACCCCAGAAATTGATTAGAATATATAATTGAAACCAAAAATGACTGACTGAAGGTGGAAGGTTGCATTTTTCAATTGCTATATTATTAATGTGTAGATAAGCTGTCAAAGCAATTCCTGTTTTGCACTATCCCAGTGTACCAGGTACCAATGACCAAGCACTTATTTCCCAAAATGGGCTGTACAACAACATTCACATTAAACAAAGTTTATTTAATACTGCAAGCCAGTCCACATTCTGAACTTATCTCCTCAGGTATGTACATCGTAAAAAGCAGGACTGGAGCTACCCAGAACTGGTGAAAATGCTATTGTATTGGGACATTGAAATAAGTACAGTCATACTACAAGAGTTCTGCTTCTAAAATAATTGCTTACAAAATTTGCATTGTTTACATTTTTGTATTTACAATCATATTGTAGTTTGCCACTACCAAACATTATGTACTTTCCCCCCAAAAAGAAACCAAAACAAGAAATTGAAAACAAATACATAGTTAAAACAACCCAGTCACAATATCCTCCAAAATTAACAACTACACAGCCTGAAAACTTCACTTGTACTTTTGCCAAGTACTTTATTGGCCAACTGTACTACAGTGACCATTGTATTATATTGGCCAGTGCATGTTTAACATGCCAAATTAAACACATTAGTACTGCAATAAATAGTTTTTACATAGTAACATCAGAAATTATTCTTTTCTATTATTTTAGTGACTAAACATAATTCAATGACAATTCTCTAACCCATCATATACCCTGCATTTAGTTCTGGGGGTATGTCTCATAATCATAATGACCCAACATCAATAAGTGTCCTTCTGGAGTAATGTCCATATCAGTCCATTTGATGATTTCCATTGACATTAATAAATTTTAGAATTAATCTTCCTGCCTGTCATGTATCTCCTGTCATCTCTTTCTCCCTTTTAACAATGTATGTGATGTAAAAAAAATACAAGATTGCAGTGGTTGCAATAGACACTTACCCTATAGAAGGCAGTTGTCAGGGGCAGTAATGCTGCAGCAATGCTGTATTCTTCTGAAGATGAGCAATCCTGCAAGAAAAAACAAAGAAGAAAATAAGCAAAACCATTTTATGCACTGCAAATTCATTTCTGCCTTATGGAGTCCCTCTGGCATCCTCCTGACACAAAATGGAATCTTTAATCATTCGACAGCATGTAAAAATAACACATATTTATGAATGTGTGTATGTATATATATATATATATATATATATATATATGTATATATGGATGGGTGGGTGGGTGGATGTGTGTGTGTATATATATATATATGTATATATAATATATATATATGTATATATATATGTGTATATATATATGTGTATATATACACACACACACATCCACCCACCCACCCATCCACTATCTATCTATCTATCTATCTATCTATCTATCTATCTATCTATCTATCTATCTATCTATCTATCTATCTATCTATCTATCTTTCTCATGATTTCTCATAGACAGGTATTACTGTGATTCTTCCCACTTTAGAAATTCATTAGCCCATTTCTCATTCATACATCTGAACTACAAACCCACTGACACAGTTTATACATAATAAGGAACGTTTTCCTCATTTAGGAAACAATAGGAAGGCAGTTTGCTTGCATTTGGGTCAAGAGCAAACCTGACTAAAATGGAAGTGATGTGATGACCAAGGAATGCCCTTTCAAAACGTCTATGTGAAGGAAGTGACATTTATGCAACATGAAATAATCACCTCCACAGCCTCTACAAAAGTTTGGCACAAGGTTAACTTTAAAAGAAGATGAAAACCCATTCTCTTCAAGTCTCTGAATGCCTCATTCAACAGTCAAGTGTGTCATTCATGTCTCTCTAGGCAGAGAAGGGTATGCCAAAGTAAATCAACTAGTAATTGTGCTGATGAAAGTCGTGATTTTATTACGGAAGTCTTTTAAAAGAAAGCAGAATTGGAATGTAACTTGATATTTAAAAAACAAACTACTTGAATTTTTATGACCATTAAAAAAAAAAAGAACAAAAAAGACCCAACAAGAGTTAAAAATGATACTTTTTAAAAAAGTGATCAGGTGTTTTTTCAGTAGCTCTTTTTGCCACCACTAAAGAACACAATAATGCACATACTCGTACAGTTGACAAATGTATCACCATTGTGCCCCTGGATGATCAATGGACAACCAACATTTCCAGTTGAACAACTAATTATAAAATTTTTAACATCATTGTTACAGAGGGCACCCTGCAACTCAAACCACTCCTATTAACTCTAACAACTGACCAAATGCCAAAATTGAAATATCTCAAGTGTTCCTCTGCCAGACTTTACATTTATGACTTCAAAATATCAGACTTATCTAAAACAGAGCAACTAGCAAAACCCTGGCACCAGCCAATTGTGATAGCAGAAATATGAAAACTGCTTTACAAAACCAACAATGTTATGGATTATTAGGATGTTATTTGTATCCATCTCATTCTTTATTCTTAAATGGCTGCAGAGTGACTGTGGATTGTGGGTTTAAAACAACAGACCAAAAATTCTCTTCACAAGACTATTTTGCTTCTCATCATTTTGAAGTCTATTTCAACCTTTGTGATTTCTCAATAACAAATCCTTGATCTTCTATTGCTTTAATCAAGCTCACCTAAATGGAATAGCAATGTCCATTATAGTTAAATACAGCAGCATTTAGAAAACTGCTTACACATAAATTCTGGAAAGGGACACAACAAGTTCACAGTTGTGAAGGTTTATTTCTGCACAGAGTTACTGAGGGTTCCAATGTGTCTAACTCTGCACAAATGCATGAATGCTCACTGTGCATGGACAACATGAGTTTGGCAAGTGTTCACACTTCATAACACACTTCCAACCTGGTAGAGGAAAACTAACAAAAAAGGACACTGAAAAACTCAATAAATGTTTCAATGATGCCTCTTGGTATTGCAATACGTATGTAGTAAACCCAAATTAGTTTGTAAGATCTCAGAGCATAAGGCTAAAGGACACAGCCTCAGCTGCTTTCAATTTTCCATTTCTACATTATTCCCTATTGTTATCCACAGCCTTAATCCCCATTTGGAAGTTAGCATACATATTTTTAGTTCAATATATGATAAATATTCTTAGTACTTTTTTGCTTAACAAGAACACTTCCCACTTAAAATTTGACTTTCCAATCTTTGGAAATGTCCAACAGCTTTCAAAGAAATACATATCTTATTTCTGTACATGATTATTTATAACCAGGTATAAAATAATCCATCCTCAATTTCAGGTTACCTACTTAATCCCTTAGCTCAAATTATTTGAAAGAGTTCGGGCTTTTATCCAAAATATACATAAAAATATCTTTATAAAAACTGAGCAATGTATCTTCACCTAGAGAGCATTCAATACTCCAAGAGCTAACATATGTCTCAAAGATATATATCATCACCATATAAACAACACATTAGATTATTTTTCCATTCCTTCCTTCAAGTATGAAATTCTCCACATATTCCATGTCAGCAGTACATGGACTTGTAGTGTGGAAGTATTATCTCTCTATATTTTTTTTTTCTTCTCCTGTATATGACAAGGAATACAAAATTATCTCAGTTAGGAATGAATTGCAACATTGTTGTTTTAAGATGAGTGGAACTAATTAATTGTTTACTTGCATTGTAGCTGCAAGACAGAATGCCATAGTTAAAAGAGATGTTGCACTGAAATCTCAGCTTCTCAATTTTACAGACAAACCAAAGTACTGGAAATGTCATATATGTGTTGTAGGCAATTAATTTAGACCCCCGAAACAATGCAATCCAGCTGCCTTATATATAATGTCTTTACCAATTGTGAAAAATACTCTTACTGCTGCTACAGAAGTAGACAAAATCAAATACCATAAAATAATCAAAGCTTTTCCACCTAATTTGCACAAAATGAAGCTGAAACATATCTGGGGAACAAAAATTATTTTCAGCAAATTAATCACCAAAAAACCAACGTACTTTGACAGTGAAATACAGACTTCCACCATGACATATGCAGAGCACTGCTTTGAATCCATGCCTAATTGAGTGAAAACCTGGCACATTGTTCTGGCCGTACTGATCCTATATCCAGACAGTTGCTGAACTCTGTAGCAGATTGGAAGGATTACAGAAATTCATGTACACTTAAAATAGCTTTGCTACACCGAATTGACAAGTGAATAATAAAAGCAGAACGTTTTTCCTTACATCACTTATTTTGACAACGCACGTGAATTACTTTTATACTCCAGACAGTTTAAATATGCAGCAAACTTTGGTGGCTCCATATTGCCATCAGATTGCAGAGCTGAGAGCTTGGAAGTTACAGATTTTGGCTGCTTGGCTGGACACATGGGACTGATATGGGGGAGCTTTTGGAATCTGGTAGGTGGCTTAGGCTTCTGGGGCTGGAGGAGAGAGTCAACTCTGCTCCTCACTCTTGACTTCAGAACAGGTACTGCCTGGAATGCTTGCTTGGAAAACAAGGTATTGTACATCATCATGAATTGTACACCATCAGGAACTGTTACACCATCAGGAACTGTTAACCATCAGGAACTGTTACACCATCAGGAACTATACACCACGGTGAACTGTACACCATCAGGAACTGTACATCCTCATGACCTGTACCTCATCAGGAACTGCACACCATCAGGAACTGCACACCATCAGGAACTGCACACCATCATGAACTGTACATCCTCATGAACTGTACACCATCAGGAACTGTACATGTACATCCTCATGAACTGCACACCATCAGGAACTGTACATCCTCATGACCTGTACCTCATCAGGAACTGCACACCATCAGGATCTGCACACCATCAGGATCTGCACACCATCATGAACTGTACATCCTCATGAACTGTACACCATCACAAAGCTGAGATGCCCTCTGCAGTGTGGTCCTAGTGATGAACAGCTGGGAAAAGTCACCCCAGGAGAAGATCTCCCCTGATGTGCTCCTGGACATGCAGGTTCAAGAAGGCTGCTAAGCCCCCTCTGATATCCCACAAGAGCAAGCCCAAGCCAGTGAAACACCATGACAGTGCAGAAAAATGACGTCTCTTCCTGCATTAAACAACAACTTATACTCAGGGATTTCTGCTTTCTCGTAGACACATGATAAAAATCTAGAAGACATGTATGGAACATTGAAATAACATTTGAGGGGGAATTTTCTTCTTAAATTCATCTCGATAGTCTCTCTCATTAACTGCTACCTGATACAGTATTCCAGCATTTAAACCCATTCTGCTTTAGGCACTAAGCTTTTTAAACAGACCCCACATTTTTAATAATCTGCAGAAATCCGAGTATGCCAAAAACTTGGGATCCAATTTTGCCTTACATTCAGGAACACCACAAATGCATGGAATTCCCCACAGGCCTGACTATCACATGAAATCACTGTAGCATGCAGTGAATGCATCCAAACTAAAAAGCTGAACATGGCAGCACTTGATCCATACCTTTTTGGCAGTACAGGAGGATGCGTGCATGCTCTGTTAAAAATGCTGCTCAACACTGCACTGTCCCTCCTGAGAATAACTGAAGTCAATTTTCAGGCTTACAAAGAGCATTCATCACCCTGCAGGACTAAGTTCAAAATGAATCCAGAAAAAAAAAAAAGCCAGAAACTTTAAGGTCAGATGTGTTTTTAAAGCACTAACCCAAGAACTGTTATATCAGCATGTGTAACTATGTGCAGAACATCAGCTACAAATTACAGGTGAAACATTAGTTACAAATTCAACAGATTACTTCACTAGTGCCAGGTTTTAATCCCAATTCTTACAGCTGTATTAAGTGGGCAGAGTTTTACTAAATCACAGAATTTTTATTATTGATGAAGTTTATATTTTGGAAATATGAACTGTCAATCCTAATGCACAAGGTACTACTTTTGTCTACAGCAGTAAGAGAATTCAACAGCACAGCTTAGAAAAATGTTTTGTTTGCTAAAAGGAATAGAGATTCATCAGGTAGAACTGCAGTGTTATTAATAATCATAC